AGACTTCTTCAATCATTACCTATTCTAGAACAACTATGGTCTCCTATTTCTATGGATTTTATTACAAATCTTTCAATCTCAAGATCGTGTGATTTTATATTTGTGATAGTAGATCATTTTATCAAAATAGCACATTTTGTACTAAATATAAAATCTATCACCGGTGAAGAAATTCCCAAGCTTTTCTTTGATAATATCTATCAATATCATAGATTGCCAAAAGATATTATATCGGATAGAGGGACTCAATTTGTATCAAGATTTTAAAGAATTCTTTTTAAGATTTTAAAGGTGGACATAAAACTTTCTTCAACCTTTCATCTTCAAACTAATAGATAGATAGACCACATAAACTAAGTTTTGGAGTAATACTTAAAGTGAACCATCAATTATTAACAAGACAAGTGGAGAACCCTCTTGTCATTGGCAGAGTTTGCTTATAATAATATGATGCATTCTTCTACACAATAAACAACTTTTTTTACTAATTATGATTATCATCCATGACTTCATACTTTTGACTTTTTAAAAGTTGATAATCCTATGGCAAAAGATTTGGCAAATTATTTGTTAGAGCTACATACAACAATAAAGGTGCAATTAAAAGAAGCTCAAGATCAACAAAAAATTAATGAAGATGCTTATTGAAAGAAACAACCACAATTCAATGTGTATAATAAGGTATAGTTGCTTTGTTGTAATATTAAGACTACTTGTCCTTGTGATAAGTTGGACTATTGCAAGCTTAGACCTTTTTCTATTTGTAGAAAAATCAATCCAATTGCTTATCAATTACATCTATCGAAGGTAATGAAGATCCATCTTATCTTCCACGTATCTCTTCTTAAATCATACAAGACTATGAACACACCAAGAAGAAGACAAGCTCTACTTCTTCCTATAGAAGTGGACAATTTTGAAGAGTTCAAAGTAGAAGAAGTTCTAGACTCCATTTGACTTCAAAATAAATTGGAATATCTTGCCCATTAGCACAGATATGATATTAGTGAATGCACACGAGAGCCAGTAAAGAATCTTGCAAATGTAACAAAGGCAATAGAGACTTTTCATTGATGATATCTATCTAAATCAAGATGAAGAATAGTATGTCTTTCATATAAAAGAAACAAGATCCAGAGAAGATTGCATTCTACCTTCTATCTTTTTTTGTAGCTTATGTGTATTTATAATGCTAAAGAGATAGAAAATCAACAACCAATAGATTCAACTCAAGAGCTTTCATTTGCAAACTTATCACATGAGAGATTGCAATTGTCACAATGTCCAAGACTACGAAATCAAGATGAAGATTATAAAAAAAACATGTCTTTCCTTGAATAAACAACGAGATATAATATGTTTGGTATCATGACTTTGGAGGAGACTCTCAATGTTTAGTGATTTAATTAGAGGTAGGAACAACTCCTGATGGTGTTTCAAATATTATATTTGAAAGAAGTCATGAACACCTCAACAACTACCAAATAACATGGTGGTCTTCTTGTCCTAATATGTGACACTATTGATGGCTGAGAGGACCTATCAAATATCTTTAAAGAAAAAAAAGATTGGAATATGTATCAAATATAATTTGCCACATCTTAGATTTCTTCAACATATGAAGATTGCTCCTCATGGAATTCATCTCTTAAAGAAAAGGTAATATCATGGATATATACATGTAAACCAATAATTATCTATATGATTTAAATAAAAGTAGGTAAAAGTAAGTAAAAGTAAATTAATTCTATAATATCTTCTATACAAGCTTTCTAAAAGCTTTATAGATGCTACTTTGACTTTATAGGTGTCTATAATTGACTTTTTAAGTTAGAAACATAGTCAATAAGTTGGCCATGTGCCACTCATGTTAGTAGCTTGAAGAACAAGCTAACTATGTGGCTTACACGTAGAAAACTTGCCTTGTAAGCTAAAGCATGGATTTGATTTGGACTAATAAATTATAATTAAAGCTTAAAAAATATAATTAAATATTAATTATGTCCAATTAAAATTTTAAATAAATTATAAAATAAATATAAAATTAATTAATTAATTAATTAATTGAATTCTAATCAAATCATAGACAAATCCTAAATAAATCCTAATCTAATCCTAGACAAATCTTATTTAAATCTTAGATAAATCCTAATCAAACTTTAGATAAATCTTAATCAAATCTTAATCAAATTCTAATAAAATCCTAAACATGTCCTAATTAAATTCTTAACAAATCTCAATCAATCTCTAAAAGAAATCCTAATCAAATCCTAGACAAATCCTAAACAAATCATAATCAAATCCTAAATAAATTCTTTCAAAATTCTGGACAAGTCCAAATCAAATTCTTAACAAATCTTAGTCAAATTCTAGAAAAAATCTTAATAAAATCTTAAATCTTAAATAATTTCTTAATAAATCCTATGGTAGATTGAAATCTCTATGGCTAACAATCAAATCATTGATTTTAATTCAAATTTTGCACACATTTCAACAACTAAGCTAGCAACAAGTATAATCATTTTTAAGAAGATCAAACTTATTAAGTAGAAGATAAATTCTAAAATCTACTTGGATGTAAGTTGGCCTCGTTTTTCAATCTTAATATTAATCTTTATAAGCAAAAATCTCTTAATTTCCTAATTAAATACCTCTCAAAATTCACATATATGTTAGAAATCAAGTCTATTACCAATATATATAAATTTTACCTCAATTCAATTGAAAAATTACTAAAGTTCTTAGAAACTTCACTAATCCTCAAAAACCCATTTCTAAGATCCCAACCCACTTAAACTTTAATAATCTTCAATCTAATTATTCAATTATACTCAAATTTATAGCTTGTAATAAAAAAAATCATGATGACAAATCTACAAATATTCATCTATAGATCTACTATCAAACTCACAAAATTCTCTCAAATATAAACTATTTTTTAATTTTACAAACTCGATTCACCAAAACAACTTTGATTTTGCAAAGCTCTTACAAAGTCATTAAAAACTTGAATTACTTAAATCCAATGCTCAAAAAAATCCTATGAAGTCTTTTCTTAAATCATATTCTTTGATTTGCAAAAGAATCTTGGAGTTATTGTAGATGTGCAGTTTTGTGCTTCAGTATCTAATTTCAATCTTAGTTGACAATTGATCCTTTTTGGATTTCAATTCTTATTTTTTTGAGGTAATTTTTGCTAAAATCAACTCCTAACTCTCTTATACATATGTCTTTATCTTTTATTTCTCTAATCTATCTTGTTTTGTCTTTTTTATGGCTCTATAAAATAAGTAGAAGCCTACTTTGCAAAAAGCCAACATTTATATTTTTAGTTGTATTATCTTTTGACTATTATTTATATTTCTAAGATAATTTGTAACAATATTTTGAAATAAGATTTTCTATAATATAATATTTCTTATCTCTTTTACCTATTAGCAGTGTTACATCATAACATTGATGTTAAATTAGTCATATGTAATATTGAACTTAAAATAATTGAATAATTCTTGCATCCATGGATTGGAATCTACTTATAGTATTTGGAAGCAAGAATTCAAGTCTAATCACTGTCAATAGTGCACCTTTATTAGATACTTGGTTACTTGAGAAATTATCAATTAATAATAATACATCTTTTTATATAGTAACCATCCTCCTTTAAAAATCAAGCATAATTTTTTTCAAATATACTTGTAGTCATCCAAGTTTTCTTATTTGCAAACTACTTAATTCTAAGGTTATTTGAATTGAAAATGTCCTTATATGAAAATGCTCAAGGCTTCATATATTTATTCAAAACCAACTGAGGAAGTTTGATGGCACCATTAGCATTTGCAAAAAGTGCAACAATCATGTATTCTTTCTCTTTCTTCTCAAACAACTTCTTTGCAGTAAATAAGCAACTTGGTTCAACCCTATAAAAGAGTCATGTCTCATCCATATTGAATATGATAGAAAGAACATGTTGAAACATTAGAATTTTAATTTCCTCCATCCTTTTCAGGCTTTAAGGGAATTATGAATAGATGCATCCTTTCCATGACAAGTATACTCTTTGATATGAAATCTCTTCTTAAATTTGTCTATCTATCAATGTGAAAACTAAAGTTCTAGTCAAAGCCTTATTAGTAATATTTTATCCACTAGACACGAACTTTTAATGATATTGAAGGGATCTCTTTCTTTAGCACCAAAGTAAATTCAAAGCTCTTCCCAATTGTAGACCTAAACTTCCAATATCTCTAAATCATCATATTACAAATCTATCATAACATTATAATATTGCTAACTTCTCAAATAACACAACATTGGAATACAAAGAGACTGATGCAAGAGAACTTGAAGTTTAGATCCCAAAGAGATTGATGGAGTTTGTGGCTAGTGATGTGTGCACAATGTGGAATAGGCAATATATGATGTCAAATGGATGATATGTGAAGATACTATGAGATATATAAAATGCTTTAAATGCCAACCACAATATGATGAACCTCATTCAATTTCATTTAAGTTATAGAATTTCATATCCTCACTTTTATCCAAATCAATACTTATCCAATTGAATTCATTGGAGAGGGGAGCATAATTTTTATAAATTGTCACAACAATTAACATTTACTAGCATAATTTTTTTATTTTCTTTGGGAGCACAAATTTCCTTAACACATATCCAGGGTGGACTTTATCATAGAAGTCTGGAGGAAAGTCAAGGAGTTGTTGATGCCCTGAAGTGGGCCTGGGTCAGATAAAAGCAGCAGTAGGAACTCATGTGGTTCTTGTTTGATCATCATTAATAACCATTGCATTTTGAATGAGCGATCTTGTGATACGATTTTAAAACCACGATTTTAGGATTTTACATGCTTGACAATTGCTAATAAAAAGACTTAAGAATTCAAACTTCAAAAGCCTGCCTTCACAACTTTTCAATTATCCAGACAAACCAAAACCAAAAATTGGAAGTAAAAGCCACGCGCCATTCCCATCGACATCAGCAATATCAATAATCCTGTAATGAATTCAGTGGTGATAAAACTGTTCTCAAAGTGCAACAATGGAGGCTTAAAAATGACGTCGTTCGGTAGTCATTCTCAAATGTTTTGAAAAGTCAAATTTCTAAAGCGATTGAAAGTTAACGGGTGCAACACTGAGACACTACTTACGACTGATCCAACGCATCACTTCTACAGAATTTAAATCAAAAGCTTTGGATATGGCAGCGACGGCGGATGGTTGAATTGCTCGAGTCATCACCTCACCAGGCTTCACTAATGAATCCAACTCTTTTGAAGGCGTGAGTGCCTGCAAACCAACGTTTATGGCTACGGTTAACAACATGAACCTGATTAAATGTTGCATCTGCACACCCCTTTGCAACTCTGATGACTCCAAATCAACATATTGAGTCAACTGTGAAAACCTTTAATATAACGTGACCTCTCTAAGATCTGGCACTGGGAACAATCAATAGTCAGTCAGAAACTTACCCAAGAGGGGTTTTGTGAGCTCACAGTCCTGTAGGAGTTTTTATAAGGGCCCTTGACTGCTACAGTAGAAGGTTCAGCCTCACCCTCTGTCAACAACATCTTCAATCTTGTGCTGCTCTGATCATCACAAAATGTACATCAATATTGTACTACAAAGCTCTTTGGAGACCATTCCAGTAACGTCCAATTTAAGAGAGGTATCGCTAGCAAATTTACCTGAAAAGCACGCCAATGGGCATGCGACCTGAAAAGGTTCCAAAAAAACACTACGTTGGGCAAGGGGAGAATCTGAATAGATAACAAACATGTGTCTCAGGTGACACCGATAAAAACCCCCAAGGCAAAAGAGACTCGCATTACATGTCCTAGGCTACATACAATAAAATAAACGAAGCTTGAGCTGCAGAATAATGCATCATAAATATCACGAAAATAAGATAGATCCTAAAAAGCTCACCCCCAACAGAACAGTGAACGGTAAAAGTGCTATTGATCCATACATAAGCCTCTGATGATACACAGTTCCGCTGCAGATACAGCATAGAGAGAAATCAGGTCACAGAGCTGTTGGGGACGTGTTGTTCAAAATTCAGGAGCAATATACTACACATGACGGTTTCAAAAGATATGCACTACCACTCATCTCAATACTACGAAAGCAATAATAGAGAGAACACACCAAAGAAAGCATATATTTTGCAGCCTACTGAGACGTAGGGATGTAAGAGGACTTGCGGGAGGCCAGAGGCGATCAAGTTCAAGTTTCAACAAAACAGCTATGCTGCTGTCCATAAGCTGAGAATCACGACTAAAGCAAAAAATAATACTGCCACATCAAGAATTAGCAGAAGAAAAGAGGGAAAAGAGAGAAGCTAGTACACGTAGCTTACCAGTGAGCAAGATGTCGTAAACGCCTTCGGACCAGTCTTGGATTTAAACTGAACCATGCCACTCAGTCAAAAAATAATAATAGAAAGAAAAACAAAAGAAACGAAGTACCAGAACGTGAAGACGATCTGGAGATCAAGATGAAAAAAAAAGCTCAACATGCGCACCTTGAGGGGAACACTAGTTCAACTTTTGGGGTGTCTTTCGGGACTGTCTTCAAAAATTGCTCCTCAGCAGGAAGGCGGTTCAGCAAGTTTTGTCCAGCGCTGCACATTGACGACACAATTATCCACCAGTTGAACTTCCATACCACTCAAGCCAGAATCAATCTAATTTAAAGTCACTGCCAGCATGTGGCATTATTGCCCGTAAAATCACAAATCCTTCACTAAGTCTTCCTATAATCAAACGAGTTTCTGCTATTATATACTTAAGAACCTTCTCATGAAACGTAAACAGGAATTTTCCAGTTTGACGGTACAAAATGCACCACAGAAAACAACCATACCATAGCTACCAGTATGGTAAACCTAGAATGATGCTATTGTTCAGCATGTGGAAAATACCTGTAAATCCGATGCCTAATACTTCCGCTAGGTTGAGCTCCGAGTTCTGACCATTTCGTTTGCATCTATAAATTGAGTCACCACAGCATATACACCACAAAACTCACACAGTTAGGGGACACACACACACACAGACACACATATATATATATATATATATATATATATATATAACGGTGGATAGGTATCGACGTGAATAAAAATAAATAAATAAATAAATAAATAAAAAGGGGGAGGGCTCTCTGCATACGAAAATACCCATACACGCTTGCTGCCGAACTTAATCAAATCCAAGACCCTGAAAAACCTTGGAAATATTTCTGGTTTACAAATGGTGTGGCATCGTTTCTCGCCAGCGGTTTTTCAGGGTTTGGATACTTAGAACGGGGTACTGACTTGTGTAATCAATGATCGGGACTTCTTAGAACCCAAACGTTCATAAGGCGTGAAAGACGATTGCTGTCAGAGTTATTAGAAAACCATTAAAGACTTAACGAGATGTAAACATAAACCCTAACCCCTAGCCTCTTGAGAAATTTTAATAGAATATTTCTATATGCAAATTCAACCAGAAGAACAAAGAACCCAATATGAAGAATCATCAGTTGAGGGAGCGCCCATAAAGAAACCTAAGTAAACACAAGAACGTGAAACTAGCCCTAAAGAACAATGACTCCTGCAGGTCCAACTTTTAGGTATTCCAGGAGGAAAATAACAATAACAACAACACTTGTAATTTGCAGGAGGGCATCTGCTTTGCTCACATAAGACTAACATGATGTGATCCAACACCTGACTCACCCCACAACGACAGTAAACTTTACCGGCCAATTTATCTACTGGAAGCACGACATCTATACTAATCTCATGAGCAGGAAGTAGGAAGTTGAAATTGGCCGCCGACCCAGCACAATGCTGCAAAGTTTCTATGACTTCCGACTTACAACTTTCAGCTCTGGTTCCTAAAAGTTTTAAACTCGAAATGTGATCATCGGATAACAGAGGTGTGTGTATTTGAAGAAATTGCAAGTGATGACAGCTCGTGAGAGCGAAGATGCTCACCTTGTTGGAAGCAAACGATTCCATGAGCTCCACCCGGTCTGTCAACTGAGGAAGCGATTGCAAACGTTCCCAGAGCTGAGAGATAGTGACTACACTGCTATACTTTCCAGTCGGAACATCTGGCACGATGGCACTAAAACACCATCTTCGTCCTCGAACAGGAAACGCAAAAATCTTTGTCCCCATACTAACTCTATCTGTTCCAAATCCTACTGATCAAGCAGTTCTTCCACAACGATGTTAATTAGAGTCACTGTGTGTAACTCTCATTGAAGATAGTTTCGTAGCTGCGTATGGTTTCCTTCACTCGCAAGCTCTGAGCGTCCGTCAAAAAAGAAGGTACAAACGAGGGGTTTGATAAACGAATAAAATCTAACTGCAAAGAAGGCGGGCGCAGATGCCTACTTTTTATCAGGTTGAGACCCTGAATCAGCCAACCTTTAAGACCTATTGATGCCAATAACAAATACCACAAGTATCCAAAAATCCTGCAAGAGACCAGATTAAAACAGAATAAAATTGGTTCTTCCGAGGATTAAAATCTCAGAAAAGCCTGCCCAACGATGGATTTCGAGGTCTCTCGGGCCAGATCTATCGAGACCTAGATGGAAGAAGGTCGCATGGTGTACACGAAAAGGTAGGTTGCTAGAATTGCTAGATGGCCGCCAGCTACCGCACACGACAAAGCTTGAGCCTCCACCAATGAGGAACAGGAACTCACCGTCCTTCACATGCTGGCACCGAATACCCGGAATATAGTGAGTCAATGCAAATGCCGTTAGGAAACGGAAACGATCGCGCGGAGACAGGGACACATTATCAGGGCTGCGATTGTATTTCTTACCCACCTGAACCCAAAGTGGCGCCTCGGAAAGTGAGCCACAAGCTAACCTTTCCTCGCCATCGAGAGTTGTGCGCGCACGTACATGTCATGCAGCTGTACGCTTCGCAGCAAAATGAGGGTATGGTATATGCAAATTATGGCAAAATTCATTATATGTCATCGTTGTCATTAAAAAATATCGGTGCTTAGGCCCAAAGATGGATGGTGGAATAAGATAATGTGACATAATCATCATCATCATCAATGGAGACATTTCAAATTGAAAGGAGCCTGATAATACATTGGGAGCCTATAAATAGCTTGTACAATAATCAAAAGAATCATTTCAAAACACGTTTCATCACTATACATTACTCGAACTGCCAGTTTGACAGTAGTAGAGGAGCGCAAGGTGAGAATCTTGCCTCTTGTCAACCCTGAATGGTCGACAATATGTACAAATATCATTGGAAGAGACTCATGACCCTTACAGTTTCTCTAGAATCGTTCATCCTATACAGCGAACAACCAGCCTGAGCAAATCCTCATCTACTATTTGCATCCAAATGTTGTAACGCCACAGACTGCATTGTGCTGAAATTTACACTTCAGGAGGACGTTGACTTATTGCAGGTCAAGTGATCCTCTTTGAGATAGGCGAAACCAACGCTTCCCTTTAGCAAAAAGAGCACAAACTTCGGCACTCCAGAAAGAGCAGAAAACTCCACACGTGGTAGGACAGATGTTTGACTGGAAATTTCATCAAACCTTGCTTGAGCGTCAGGATAAGTCGAGACCTGCAATTATTGCTACAGTGCTTTTGGCAAAGATACTTGTGTCCACGTCTGTACACAAGCGTTTTACAACCCTAGAGAAGAGCAAACATTCTTTACGTCACCTTCATATTGTGACGATTAGGTAGAATGAGCACTCAAAAGCTGTTGATCTGTTGCTGGAAAGAGGCTGTGTTTTTGCCAACAAGTAGCGATTCGAACTTGAGACAATTTCGCAGCTCACTAACCAAAACAAGACAACATTGCTGAAGATAATAACTTTTGGAATATGGGTTGTTCCATGCGTGTGGCACCTTCAACTACAGAAGGTTATTAACAGTGGCTGTTACAGAATTTGTTCGCATCAAATCCTGCAGTTCCAAACCGAAATTGAGAAAAATACAGAGATTCAAGCGTGCTATCAAAGAAACGTAGAGCTTGAAACTCAACAATTCAATTAAGACAAACAGAATTGAGGCATGCATAAACATACCTGTAAAATGAGTTCATCCGCGACGTTTGGAAGCACCTCACGTACCATGTCAACCATTGCTGAAATCCTTGGATCCGCCCTAGTGGCCAATCCAATTGAGTTATTGCGCAAACGAAGACCACCAGCTGATTCATGTCTGTTGTGCCTGCTTGACTGGACGCTACTTTCCCCACCAAATGGCCACCAATTCCAATTGCCGTTCTCAACTAGACCATGGTCATGACTATGACCTGACTCTGACAACTGCCTCATCATCAAGCGCAAGCGACCAAGCCTACCCCCTGTATTCTGAGCACCTGTTGTTCCATTTGCTTCGTCAATTGCTGCTACAACTCCAACTGAGCCTACCTCTTGGGCTGTGCCCCTGCAGCCATATCAATGTCACCAACCATACTATGAGCATAAGACGCAAACATCATCCGACACAACAGCCGCTTTGTGTTTCCATCAGCAAACGCAATACAATAGAAGGATACACAACAATATGCTTCACTATTGAACTCTTACTGCTGCTCCTGCACGGACATTATGAAACAGGAACAAGCACTGTATAGAGACAAGCACAATGCGGCCACTCACGTCCACGTGCTGGTGACTGGGGCACTCCAATGTGGTGTAGGCGTAGGTACCAAGTCGGTAAGGGGTGGCGATGGCGATAGCACCAGATCATGTTGTAGTAGCACCTGTGCCTGAATTTCATTTGTAACAGGGGATATAGTGGGAGCATCCACCAGTCGCTGCGAATTGGGTGTTGCAGTCAGTGAGCCGCCCATAAAGAGTGGTCTACGACAGGTTGGACATGAATACGTCTCTGCTAATCCTTGATCTAACCTGCATCAACGAAATTACACAAATTACTTATCTAAGCACAGTATACATATCCTTGACTTGTCATACAGTGACTACGCATTAAGTTCCCTAAGACATAAAAGTTCTTCACGAAGATCGTCTTCCCACTTATCGACCCTCCCACCAAAAAGGACGTGTACCCAGGGTAGTAGTACATGACCTAATCTACGAGGACAATATCCAGCTTCTATACAAGAAGCTAATGGACTGATATCTAATACCAGAAACACTGACCACGCATACTAGTTATATTACATAATTCTAAAACAACTCAATGATAAGGAATAGAAACATGCCAAGATCTCAAGCACGTAAGATGGAAGAGATGTGCACAAGGAAGCCGTTTTGCCGTTGCCATAGGTTCCTGCAAATACCAGAAAGCAAAAATTTTATTTAACACACAGAATCAAAGTAATAGCATAACGCATATCACCGCTGTTTCCAAAAATATCAACAATTGCAAATGAATGAAATGTATAAACCAAACCTTGCAAATTGCGCAATCGTCTTCATATGCTAAAAGCTCCTCCTGTGTTGCATCAGGAAGTGCTCCCTGCAAGGTGGTCATGGCTTTACGGAGACGCATAAAACCTTTTATTCTTTTTGAGATGGCACTCAATAACGCCTGTCACTCAGAAGATTAGATGAGTAAGATATTCTCATTTGAAAGGTGCAACAACAATACTATATAATAGTATGGTATACATGCATTCTTGTGTTCAGAATTAACAAAATACTAAGAAAGCCCAATACCATGCATTACCCAGAAAATATATTAAATCGCATGCAATTAAGGAAGCTGAATAAAATCAGAAAAACATCTCACAGGCATGCTCAATTATACTAATTCAATCGCCGTATTTCTGTACAATGGTGTGACCACATACCCGCAAGTTAAGAAAAAGGATAGCATCAATCACTTGAAAAGCAAGACCTCGTAGCCACCAGATATGAACACAATGGCCCAAAGCCAGCAACAAGCTCACAATATCCATCACAAAACTGCAATTTCGTACAACAGTCCCACGCCATTCCCAAGCTGCACCTGCAGAAGCAACACATTTAACAAAATAAGGACTTCGAGTAGCTTACCTTTTACCAACAATGCTGGAACACTATAAATGTCATTTGTAAATAAGTGCCTCATTTCTCTATCTTCAAAAGCCTCCTTAATCATTTGAGAAGGGAATAGAGAGCTGCATGAACCCTGAGATCATAGACATTGCACGACTGAACGACCAAGTTTAGACGAAGAAAGAACGTAACACACCTGCAGCAGACCTCTCTGAAGGCTGCAAACTTATATCATGTGCAGATATATCAAGATTTTGCCGCTGCCAAGTATCCATTAACTGCATACCGTGTACGATTACTGCCTGCAAGAGAAACAAGCACGAAAATAAGATTTCACGGCCACTTAGCAGAGAACCATGCTTAAAACCTAAATTTATTTAATAACACAAAAATGCAAAATAAGCAGGATTTGGGCCAACCATGCTGACAACTTCACCTGAAGTGTGTCCAATGCTATACAGAGAGGCTCGAAGAAAAGCAACAAGAAGGTGCTCGTCCCAATGTCTTTGAACAACAAAAAACACAGTTGCATCCTGCAACATCAGCCCAATCGAACTTCATCAAAACCTAATGATACCTGAGAAAGCATTAGGAATCCATGTAATCAGAATCTATTAACTCATGGCTATTAGAACATCTCCACAAGCCCATAGATTTCGTTATCTGTCAATATCCACAACTAACCCAGACATGTATACACGTCTCAAACTATTTTCAAAAAATAAACTTCGGAATACAGAGGGATACGCACCAGAGTAAGTCAAACAGAAGGACAAAATAAAGAACTGTATAAACTCTTAGGTGAGACAAAATTGTTGCAGAAGGAGACGCACTCAAGTACTCCAGACGATCCCTCGCCAAACCTTGGAACATCTGTGTACAAAATCATGTAATATTTTAGCCCATATTGCAATATAGAGCTGATAAAACTCGTGCACCTGTAAAGGTGACGGAACATTCAAGATCTTTAAAAATACAAATAACATCGAACTGAAGGACTGGTACGACATGAAGAGAAGCATCATCAGCTACTAAACTAATCGATGCTAAGCAAATGTTCCAGAAAAAGGTGCTAAAATTCGCAAAATCACATGTTGGCGACGTACCTTCAGGAAACCCAAGACTGAAAACCATCCCAGCCAGATGGCAATCTGCATCATTTCTGGTCTTACTACCCAAGTTAAGAATAATCCCTGTCATGAACCAAACGCAATTATGAGAGAATAACCCCACATCTACTGTTGATAAAACCAGCCATCGCAAACTGCTAGCATCATATCAATATTTTAATCAAGCCTCTCTGCCTGAAGTTGCTAATGCGGCCAAATAAATCGAGTATTGATCACATAACGTAACTACGTATAATCATGGTCACCTTGAACAATACATAATTGATGAGTCGCTCCACCACCTTCTGTGTCTCTGACAGAGACAACCGACCAAAAAAGATGAACTGCACATTTACATCATTTCAGCACAAGAGAACAGTATAATAATTATAACAATCTAAAGTACACATCATTTCATCCTATAACCCCTCCACCACCTAAAAACTAGAGGTAGTAGGCAGCTCTGCTTCTGATGACTATCGTAAATGCAAAAGATTACACAGATCACTTTCAAGCATGATTAATACAACTTCAGAAGAGCTAGGGAAAGCTGAACAACAACTTGAATGACAAATGAACAGATAGTGTACCTTCATTGAAAGTGTAATCAGAAGAAAAAAGTTGACCATAAGGTTCGCAAGTAAGGCCACCACCACGGATGATTGAAGAAGAGATTGAAGGATGCGAGCTGCTTCAGTAGGATCCAGTCCTTGCAGATCTTTATCAATGCTCCATAAAGCAGAATTTAATTTCCAAGCAATTCCACCTAGACTTAAAGCGGTGTAAAGTGCCACCACTGGCCCATAACGGGGCTCCATAGTGCTTGACAAAGTTGCTCAGCACCTGTAAATATAGAGCTCACTGTCCTTAAACTTTAAGGCCACGAAAACAAAAATGTAGTGTGGTCTTTCAAACGATAATGCCGAAAGAGATGAAGAGGCCACCACATAACCGAAGACTTGGAAAAGGAAAAAGCCGGATAGGACAAGGCAATGTGCAAAATCTAACGAAAGAAAATCTACAGTACCAAGTGTCTGATCTCGTCCATAGGGAGGAAATAAAGGTGACTATTGCTCGAAGAGACGCTGTCCCAATAAATCAACAATCATTGTGGTAGCACAATCTCACAAAGAAAAAAGGTGAAGTAAAGCTTGAGAAGTGTAGAGGAAACGATGTAATCAAAACATGGTTAAAATTACTAAAACTGCGTCACATGGAGAGAGAAACATGTGTGACATTAAGCATGACGGGAATAATCCAAATCGGGTTAAGGCAGCGTTGTCCGAGGAGGCAGATGCCGGGAAGAATTCAGCACGTTGGCAATGCGACCTTCGCACCAGATTCCAGGAGGATCGTTCGAAATCAAAAAAATGTAAGTTGCGTCATGCACTGCGCAAAATAAGATCAAACACAGAGAACATACTGAGTACGTGTGAAAAGCATGAAAACAAAAACAATTCATGTACATTCTGTTACGTATTCCTTATGACAAATGATCCCCTAATTAACAAACACCATTAAAACTACTTTAAAGAGTGATAAAACATTTTGCTGGACTTATTCTATTCGATATAATAAAGTGTTTGACAATTGTTTACGAGGAGACTCGTGCTGATTCATCAACACAACGCGAAGATATCACGCGGAGTAATATAGTAATTCTACTGCTGTAAATAAGTACGGATAATTTCTTAGACAATCGCTATCCAAGTAGAATAAAAAAGAAACAATCAATACGACTTTACGCAATAACCGTATTGTAAGGCGAGCTTATGTTCACTCGAAGAGTTACTTGCACACGAAGATGTGGGAGATTTCAACTGCGATCAACATCCCCAGCAAAGCCGCGTAATCTTTCACGAATTGACAACATCTAAGTACCGAACCTAGCTTTAATCTTTGAATGTTAGAAACACGACCGGTCTTGGAAGGAAGAAAATTCGATCCCGAAACTGCGGACGTCCTCTCGCTTCAACTTCAATTGAAGCTCATACAGCTACATGGTAAATAAAATAACGAGATATATCTCAATTAAATAAAATTTATACTGTTCTACGAATCGTTTGTGGGAACTGACTGCTGAGTCATAGCCACTACGGTCGACATCAGAAAAAGGAACTGAACCACCACCCCTTACTGCAGCTGTTACCGGTCTAAAACTGAATTTCCAAACTGAGTGTGGACTAACTTCCTTGAACACTCGATTCAGTGCAAAGAAGCACTACATTAACAAAAACTTCCACAGTACCACGTTCGTAACATTTGCAGGTGAACGATCGTACAAAACCTTTAGAAAACCTCAATCACGGACAAGACCTGGTGGAAACATCCATCTCCAAAATTGTGTTCAGCACTAGACGGAGTTGGTTAAAAATATCCAATAAGATTGAAAGTGGACCACAAGTGAAGCATGATACGAAATAAGAAATAGTGAACAAGCAGGTAAGAGCCATACCCGCTAAAGAATCCACGCGAGGCAGATGCAAATTAAGATGTGAATAGCAAATGCCGAGGCAAGCCATCCAATGCCAGAATGGAAGGCAGGCTACCTGTAAACAGAAAACCTGGGAACAATAAGAGAAAAACAATCATACGAAGCAGTAACTAGAGGGCATGAAAACACAAACAAAAAAATAAGTAAAAATCAAATATTTTTAAAGATTGATAGAATGACACAAGTGCACAGAATCCGAGATGGGGCAGCTGCAAATCACGTGCCGAAAACAGAAGATTACAAAGATGGATGCACGACGGGAGTGTGAGAATACTGGACTACTAAGTGCGACGAGGATAATGCAACAGATAGGGGAGGAATTATACCTGAGCCATGAACGACAAGGAAGGTGAGGAGTGGAGGATTGAGAGGAATCACAAGCGTTGACATGGTTAACATGCTGGAGAAGGAATCAGAATGCAGGGGAGTACTAAGTTGATGAATCATGAAGGGGAGGGAAGCCTGTTGCGAAAACCCTAAGAGAGGAGGACACGGGGGGGAGGGGGTGGGGATGACGGTGGCGGGCCTGCCAGGCCACGCCAATTGTTTCACTCTCTCACTATCCATGTGGTATTTCAGCTCCATCAGCACTGCCTGCCTGCCAGGGTTGGTTGATGGTTCTTCTTCCCGCTTCAATATAGTGAGCGAGCGAGCTCTATTGGGAAGGAATCCCCGTCCATCCATTAATTTTTTCATCCAATTGTTCATTAATTCATCCTCCCTTCCTTCGGGGCGGACGGCGTGGTGCCATGGGCACCACCTCTCCCTCCAGCTTCTTCTTCGTCCATCGCAGTAAGAAACATTCACACTCCGGACACGTGCCGTCAACTCCCACCCCACAGTTTCCTTGAATTCTTTCTCAATTCATGCTTGTCTTCCGTACACTCCCTGCTTGCCCTTCCACGTATTAAGATGCATGTATAGTGCATTCTATAGCATTCCCTTGTGACATCCACCAAGCAATGATGCATCCATCTTTCTATAAAAAGTGTTTATTTTCCATTACAAAATTGAATTGAGTAAATATTTTAATTTTAAAACACATACATTCAGATTTCATTTTTCACCTTTGAATTATATATATATATATATATATATACACACATTATATATATTATTCCAAATGCTTATTAAACTCTATATAACTATATAATGTAATATATGTATATGTATTCTCTACATATGTTTTCTTATTCACATCAAAAGATGACATGCAATGGCATCAATCTACATACATATATATATATATATATATATATATACATATGTAGTTTTTTTTTAAAATCAAGTAAAAAAAAAAAAAAAAAAAAAATTTTGCATTCTAAAAAAAATTAAAATATTTGCAATAAACCATGACAAAAATATGTATAAAGGTACAACTGCATACATTTGGTAAATTATGTTAGAATTAAGTTTTCACAAATTTGTGATGATGTAAAAAGACTAACATTATAGGTTGTGTATGACAAATCATAACATAATATAATATAATAATATGTAATAAAAAATTAATGTAATATTTTACAACACAATCATAAATCCATATCATCTATCAAAAGCATAAATCATAAAAAAATTCTAAAAAATGCAATACATTCTTATGATACTCAAAACAAAAAAAAATAAATAAAAAAAAATAGATATAAAATAGAAAGTGGAATGGCTATTATCAAATATAAAGAATTTAGAGATTCTTGAGATAAGATTGTAAGAAATATGTCTAACTTGTAAGGTAAGTTTTTAATATATGTACTACATGGCCAATTTGTACAACAAGAAACTAATATATGTAACATGTGACCAACTTATAAAGCAAGTGTCCAACTTATAAGAGATATGTCTAACTTGTAAGGTAAGTTTTTAATATATGTACTACATGGTCAATTTGTACAACAAGAAACTAATATATGTAACATGTGACCAACTTATAAAGCAAGTAGACAATATGTGCAACATGTGGCCAACTAGTAGGCTAAATTTTTAACCTATCAACTATCAATAAATACTTGAAAAGTCAAATCCATAAGATATTATCTAATTTATCTATTTTTTATTTTTATCTAACTCGTTTTATCTTTACTAATATTAGTATGGTTGTAACAATGCCCTCTTTTCTAGAAATAAATTTTGTAACGAGCAATAATTACATATTAGAAAAGTTCAAGATACAAAAAATTATATTTAGTACATGTTATGTTTTTTATTCTCTTCAAAGATAATTGATAGGTTTTATCAGCTATAAATAATATCTTAAATCAAGACATAAAGACCACCCTATTATTTATTCAATTTTATGGCCTTCATAACTTCCTTTAAATAAAAAATTTAAAACAATGTTAGGAGTAGTTTTTACCTCCAAAAATATGAACAAATATGAAGAATCTCTTTGAAGGTTACGATATCAAATACATTATATCTTTCTATCTATTTGAGAAATTGTTAGGGACATAGTTCTTAGAACCTTCTAGAAACAAGTTTCTAGAACCTTCTAGAGAAAAGCTTCTAGAACCTTCTAGAAGCAAGTCTCTGGAACCTTCTAGAAGCTTCTTAGTTGGTAGAAGATGTTAGAGACATAGTCCTTAGAACCTTCTAGAGATAAGTTTCTAGAACCTTCTAGAAGCAAGTCTCTGGAACCTTCTAGAAGCTTCCTAGTTGGTAGAAGTAGCTTGAGAAGTTTCCTAAATAGGAGTATATATTGAAATCGAGGCTGAAGAGTTCTTTAGTCTTGACAACACATCTCTTGGAGCTCTACCTCATCTCTCTGGTGTTGTTCTTGTATTCATCTGATTAATCTAGTTCTTGCCAGTTCTTCTTGAACTTCTTGTTAGATCTCAAGTCTATATTTCTGTGTCCGTGACAGTTTGTCGAGACTTCACTCACCTCAGATATCAAAGCTAGTTTCTTCTTTGTTAGAGTGTGGATTACCCCTCTGCTTGGAAGTGTACTAGCATTTTAGAGGTTGCGGATTGTCCTCCTCTAAATTGATACTTCTTTTGTTACAATATTGGAGTCTTATTCTTCTTGGAGAGAGTGGATTACCTCTTTTCTTGAAGCTCTTAAGGCATTTTAGAGGTTGCGGAGTACCCTCCTCTAAACCAATATTATCTTCTTGTAGAGTCATTTCTATCCTTCTCTTAGAATGGTCGAGGGCCAAGACATTAGTATGACAGAAAGTTCAGAGTCCAAGTTAGATACTATCATGAATGCCCTCGCTACGTTATCGCAAAGAATTGCAGAGATTGAAGGAGTCGTGGCAAGGCTTCATAATGATGGAGCATCTGGGATGGCACAATCTAAGTTGCACCAGCCTCAAACTTTTGTACTTGCAGAAGCAACTTTGCCTCAGGTTCGAAAAGCACCACTAGTTCTACAACATAAGGAGCCCCGAGTTAGCCTTCCGGACAAGTTCGATGGTAAGCGTTCCAAGTTTCGAGGATTCGTCAACCAAATCAGGTTGATAACAGTTTTACAGCCCGAACGCTATCCAACGGAGGAGTCACGTGTTAGGCTTGTTGGAACCTTACTTACAGGATAAGCTCTATCATGGTTTGCTCCTTTGTTTGAGAAACGATCGTCCATACTAAACAACTTTGAAACCTTTTTGGAGGCATTTGCGGAAGCCTTTGGTGAACATGACAAGGTTCGATGGGCTACAACAAAGATCCGGTCACTACGACAAGGGATGCGTTCTACATCAATCTATGCATCGGACTTCAGGCAATTAGCATGCGACATCAATTGGGACGAAGAAGCATTGATGAGTCAATTTTATTGGGGTTTAAGGAACGATGTGAAGGATTTGCTGTTCACTCTTCTTGATCCGCAAACGCTTAACGAAGCTATTAGCCAAGTCGTGAAGTGCGATAACCACCTATTCCAACGTCGCCAAGACCAATGATCAAGACAACATACGGTTCGCCACACCCCAACTACGTCGGCAAGCAGCGTGAATTCACATTCAGAGGTAGAAGACATGCAAATTAATATAGTACGTGTCAAATCTCTTACTCTAGAAGAAAAAAAGCGACGTATGGAGGAAGGTCTATGCTTGTATTGCGATGAAGAAGGCCACAAAGTTGGAAACTGCTCCAAGAACCAAATCAACGTATTATCAAGAATAGGGGCGCGTTTATTCAGAAAAACAAGGATGCCCAGCCACAATAGGAACCGTGCGGCTGGACAGTGAAATATCGCAACAACAACCAAATTCCTTTCTTTCCGCTCAACCTACCCTTTGTTTTACAATCCCTTTGCTTATTGGCCCTTAGAAACTGAGAACCTTAGCATTATTAGATTCAGGAGCATCTGCTTATTTCTTAGACGAAGAAGTTGCGAAGCGTCATAAGATCCCTTTAGTACAAAAATCCAAACCTATTCACGTTGAGGTCATAGATCGACGACCTTTATTGTCTAGTAGTGTCACCCATGAATCAAAATCTATAGAAGTGATGTTTAAGGGCCATAGTAGTCATATTATTTTCAATATTATTAGAACCCCATCAAATCCTGTTATTCTTATTCTTTCCTGGTTGGAAAAGCATAACCCATCCATAGATTGGAAGTTGCGAAAGATAACCTTTCTCACAAAACTACCCAAGAGCAAGCCTAGTAGAAAACCCCGAATAGAGAAATCCTTATTTATTGGAGCAAGAGCGTTTATAAGATCGCCCAAGGAAGGCACACTGTTTGTCATTTATGCGACTCCAACTACCAGGGAGAAGATCTCGACAGCAAGTATACCGGAGCAATATAAGGATTTTAAAGACGTGCTTCAAAAGAAAAATGCCGACATGCTACCGAAACACAGACCATATGATTGCGTGTCAAGGACAAGAATTCGATAAAAAAACAATTCAAACAAGTGAGCATTCACTCAAGAGAGGTAACAAAATATATATAAACAAGTATATATATTGAAAGAGAAACTGGAATGGCTATTGCCAAAAGACAAGAAAACTAAAGACCCTTGAAACTAGACTGAAAGCAAGAAAGGAGTTGACAAGAGTGAAGAAGCCTTCACTCTTGTCTCTATATATACTCTCTAACTAGGGGCTATGTGGTGACGTTCTATAGGACCTCTAATATGTGTTGACTTTGTAGGGCACATGCCTTGACTTACAAGGCAAGTTTTTCTACTTGTAGGCCACATAGTTAGCTTGATCTTCAAGCTAACAACATGTGTGGCACATGGCCAACTTGTTGACCACATTTCTAATCCAAAAAGTCAATTAAAGACACCTATGAAGTCAAAGCAGCGTCTAGGAAATTTCTAGGAAGCTTCTATATTAAATATTATAGAATTAACTTACTTTTACCTACTTTTACTTACTTCTACCTATTTCTATATGTGATTATTAGCTTACATGATTATGGCCGTGACATTACCCCCCCTTCTAAGGACGAGTTCCACGAGGAGTGGTCATCATATGTTGAAAAAATCTATGATGCGACGAATTGTATTCGCCACATACTCTGATCTCTATTCTCTTCGAAGATGATTGATAGGGCCTCTCAACCATCGGTAGTGTCCCATATCAGG